CACTAGTTATTTTCCTTGTTTAATCTATTTGTCCTATTTCTGCTATTCTTATTGTTGCTATATATCAGGTACTTGTTTATATGTGTCGTTAAGTTTGTTTTCTGGTGGCTATAGATAGGTGACTTTCCTTATTGCCCTAAGGTATTGTCTGATATTCTATGAGTCTTAGTAGCCTCCTCTACCCTATTTCTTCTTATGGCTACTAGTCTTAGACGTAGTGGTAGCGTTAAGGTGCTTCTTGGTATCCCCTTATTTTTTCCTATAGTCTTTTGTGATATACTTGGGTTTCTTATAGTAGAAATATAGCTTCTTGTCCCTACATCTTTTGCTTTTCTTGATATTATAAGGTCGTTTTTTAGTAGTGTCTAATTCCATGGGTGTGGTGCTGTAATTGTTGTGTTTGTTTGACTCTTTGTATTAATTTACTTTCCAGAAAGTGTTCTTTCCTTATTGTATGTTTTGTAGATTATAGAGTTGATTGTTAATGCGTACTGCTATTTCAACCATTCATTCAAAACTATTATATGGTCCTATCTTGATGGTTTTGTATTGGGTTTCTGGTTTTAGTCCTTATTCAAATATAGCCATTTTCTGCTCGTCGTTGTGGATTCCTAATTTTTAATAGATCTACTATAGTTGTGCTGTGTACTGCGCTATATCCCTGGTTTATCTGAGTCTTTATAGTTTGCGTTATAGAGTCCTCTTTCTGTTGGTGTCTCTAAAGAATTGTCTGAGTACTTGTTTAAATTATATGTAACTATTAAGTATATTTGTGTATAGTATGGGTTATCCTCTGGTATTAGTCTAGTCCTTAAGATATAGTTTGAACCATGTTGCCACTGCCTCTTATATATAGGATCTTGCGAAGATAACTTTTTCTATATTAGTAACTCCTAGTTTAGTTACTAGATAGATATTATATTCCCTTAGGAAGTGTTTTAGTTTGGCGCGGTCTCCTTTATAAGTATTAGGTTTATAGATCTTAATAGTAGTTCTCTTATCTCTGATTCTGACTCTAAATATATTGATAGCGTCTTTGTGACTTTTAACTTATTCTAAAGTCTATTTAATAATGTCTTTATATTCATTAAGTAATCTTTATTATTCTTCTACTTATTTGTTGGTCTTATCTAGCTACTTATCATTAGGTTGCTCTTTGACTCTTTTTTCCAACTCGATGATTTTCTGTCGTATTTGCCCTAATAAGGCGTTGGTGTTGGTGGTTGGTCCACTTGCTAATGACATATTGGCTTGTCTTGCTTTGGTATATTCCTGTAGTTAGTATGCTCTCAGGGGTAGGGTGATACGTACCTAGTTTTGTCCTTCTTGATATATAATTGTAAGTCACTTGGGTCAGAGTGTCTATAATAGTATGGTGGCTCTAGTAAGTTGGAATTACTTTTGCCTCTTTGTAACTGTGAAGTCGGGGCGATTAATGTTATAAGCTGACGGCGCTCCTTGATTACCTAAAGGTGATTAAAGGTTCACACCTGCTGTAAGACAGAAGGTATAAAGGTCTTAGGGAAAGCTTAGGTTAGAAGTGAGTTATTATAGGAGATGGCTTGGTACTAAGGTGAGATAGAATACTATAGCGAGACTATCCCTTAGTTCTAAGTGTGGCTTTAGTTAGTACCTGGGTTAGATAAAGGCTAAAGGTCCTTATAAGTAGTAAAGACAAAGTTGACCTGCGTTAATGGGCAAAGGGGTATTTAGTGAATATAGTATAAGATAACTAGAATGGTGCTTTGTATTAAGTAGTATAGTAAAACTATAGCTAGTTTAATCGCGAGTATAAGACTCTTAATCCTAAGGTAATAAATGTCTTTATATACATGGTATATATCTAGTAATAGGTATGATAGTTCTCCGCCAAGGGGTTCCTATCACTTCTATTAGTTGTTATGATAGTATTAATAGGAAGCTGCCAAGCCCGTCCTATTGGTCCTATCGCTATTGGTCACGTGACTAGTGCCCTCAAGGTCTGGCCCGTGATCCTCCCGTCCAATGAGTGTATATCCTGGGGCTGCGCCGCAGGTGGTCTGTAACAGATAGCTACCTTTCTCTCTTAGTAGAATAGCTTTATAGCTAGATAAATAAAATAAATTATAAAACTAATAGTAAGGCTAATAGCTATTAAAGGAATATTATAAAAATAAGATATATTATTTATAATATACTTTACCCTTTAACTATTACTAGCTCCTACTATCCCTTTCCCCGATATAGCTCTATATAGATAGCTAAAATTATTACTCTTAGATATTAAGAAGTTTAATAGGAAGAAACTTAATAGCTACCCCTTCTAGAGAATAAAGATTGCGGTCAAGCTATCTATAAATAAAGATACTATAGAAGATAATAATAAATAAGTATAATATATTTACTCTTAACTAAAAGGGATAGTAGTAATAAGAGTCCTCTTCTAGATAGAATACTATTAAGAGATACCCTCTAAATTTACTTTTATATAACTAAGCGTATACCTAAACTACTTTTTTATTAACCTAGTAAGATAAAAGAAGGTCTAGTACTAAATATATACTATATATTAAAATAAATATCTACTCGCAGAGTTTCTAGCTAAGTTTAATTAGATAATAATAGAAGTAGAAGAATATACTTAGGATAATATAGCTAAAAAAGGAGCTTTCTAAATAGTAATTAACTCTATATTACTAGATTATTTAGTAAGTATAGATACTCTAGAGAGTTATAAGGACTACTATATACTTTTAAGAAAAATAATTAATTAATTAAAAGAAGCCTAAAGCGTAGTTTAAGCCTAGTGCTATATATATTAAGAGCACCAACTATAAATAGCCTAAAATTAAGTAATATACTATACCCTAGTAACTAGAGACCTAATAGTAGACTAAGGACGGGTACAAGTTTGATAATCAAACCAAACCAACCCAAACCCAACTAAATTACTACTAGTTGAGTATTTTTTTTTAGAAAACTTATTTTAATAATTTAGATATTAAAACCCTAATTAAGTAATATAATATAATAGCTAATATAATAAAAAATAACTAATTAAGTTTATTAGTTATTATATTCTAATTAATTATTTTTTATAATTACTTATTATATTTTACTTAATTATTTTACTTTAATTAGTTATTATATTTTAATTAGTTATTATAATAGGATAATTAAGCTAAATATTAAATTTTAATTTATATTATACTATTTCTATATTTCTATTAAATATTATATTTATAAAATACTATTTATTAATTTATAGAGATTAACTAATAATATAATTTTAAAGGTAAAATAGAAAGAACACTATTATTCTAGAATAATAGTATCTAGTAGGTAAATATTAAAATTAGAATAGTTATTAAAAGGGGTGTAGCCTAAATCCTAATTAGTAAAGTATATAGCTATTATATAATTTAAAAAGGTAGAGTTATATTATTTAAAGTATATAAAATTACTTTTTAACTCTATAAAAAGGCTAACTATAAGTAGAAGTCTTTTATAGTATTTTATTAGCCTATATTTTCTTATTATCTTTAGATATCTTTAGTTTTATTAGCTTAGACGTAGTATCTTTTATCTTCTTTATAGATATTTTCTTTCTTTTATTTATTAGAGTATTTAGTATCTTACTATCTTTTAATATTATATTTAATCCTTATCTCCTTTTCTTAGAAATAGATATCGCTAGGGGTAGCTTAGTAATGTCTATAAAGATAGTTAGTGGAAAGGTATTTAAATTTAATTAATTTAAATATAGCTACTTAATATTAGACTAAATTAGATATAACTCCTTCTATTATATTATACTATTTAATATCTCTATAGCTTTCTTATTAAGTTCCTAAGCTTTATTATCTAAAAATAATAAACCTTAAGCTCCCTCTAGTTATACTATATAATTAAATATAGCTTTTTATATAAAAATATATATCTAATAGTATTAAAAGGTATAATTAATAAAGAATAGTTAAACTTAAACTTTATATTTCTAACTAATATAGATAAGTTAAGCCTTTATTTATAATAATATATTTATATTTTATAGAAGCTCTATAATAACTATATAGTAGGCGCCAAATAATTATAGATTTAATTTAAAACCTTCTATCTAATAGGTAGCTAAAATTATATATATTTTCCCGCCCTTATTATTAAAGATTAATAAAATATTATCCCTTTCTAACTAGCTTATATTAGAGTATAATTAGGTAGATAAGATTCTAAAATTTAAATAGAATATTAATATTAACTATATAACTACTATAATAAAAAATAAAAATTATAAATTATTTATAGCCTTTAATAATAATTTTAAAAAGAATCTAATAGAGATAGTGTAGTATTAGTAAATAATTAAATAGCTAAATAATATAATTTATATAAGTCTCTAGGATATAGTACTAATAGCTATTTATAATATAGGTATACTTCAAGAAATATTCTAACCTAGTAAATAGTTTTAATATCCATATATTAATCTTATTAGTAGCTATCTTAAAGTAGCTAATATACTTACTAAACTAGTAAAACTTAGATATAATTAATATATATAGTAGTAGATAGATCTTTTTAAAGTCTACTATTCTTTTATAATTATCTAATTTATCCTTAGAGGTAATAAATAGGCTAGTTTAAATAATTTCTTAGTAGATTTTATAGTAGTCTATGCAACGGTTCAATCAATCTGATATTGCTATCTAATTGGCAACACAAGCGAAGATACAAAAGTGAAGAAGAAAAGGAAAAGGTGCGAACGGCTCCGATCTGCCTGCTTCGTTGATAAAGGCCTCCTGCAAGACATCGACCTTTCCCGATCGGGTAGGGTCTCCGGCAGGTGTCAGCTTCTTTGATGCAGGCAGTCGGTTGATGCCGAACGGCCGTTTGATACGGGCCGTTGAGAAAGACATGCAGCTCAGACATGCAGCGATCGTTCGACCGGTCCGATCAAGCTCCCGATCAACCGCTCGTGACCGTCACAATATCTTGCTACAATCCGCATTGACGTTCTTGTTCTAAGAGCGGAACTGGGCCAGTGTGATACCTACGGCCTGATTAATGGTGTAGCAACTATCACCGTCCTTAATCAGATGGAACTTTTTGCAGTTGCTCACTATACTAGGCATCTGCGGCTGTGGCCCCGTAGGTGTGAGCGTGGGCATGGGCACCGATGTTATGGCGCCTGGGACGTGAACGTAGACGTAGTAGTCTAGCCAGAGGTTGCTGCACTCTAAAATGGCATGTTAGATTGAGATCTGCGTTATAGTAAAGGGGACCAAGGACTATATACCAGCGTTGATGGAGGGGTTCCACGTTGTAAATTGGGCCGCACTGACGCCGTACTTAACCTCGATCGTATAGCAACTATCACTAGACACAACAAGATGGAACTTATCACAGTCCTTTACGAGACCTGGCTGGGTCGGGGAATGAGGGTCAGCCGACGTCGTGGTTGGCATTTTCTGGGTAGTGGTAGTGGTCTTGGTTGGAGTCGTAGTGGGCTTAGTGGCGGCCTGAGAGGTGGCCTTGGAAGTGGTGGTCTTCGAGGTGGTCGTCGTGCCAGGAGTATCTGGCGAGATAGTGCCAACCACACAGTAGCTCTGACCAGCAACTAGATTGGGGCAGTTGACACCAGGATTCAAAGACTTAAACATGTCAACAGTAAGACCCCATCGACCTGATAAGTCTTCACATGTATCTCCGGGGTCACAGGGCGTAGAGAAACTACAGACAATGCCACGGGTATAGAGCACTCTGGCGAAAAGCAGCTCTGGGAGCAGGGCCAGGACAATGAAGGAAACGAGATGCATCTTTTATGGATTTTGCTACGTTTCAGGAGTGGAATGCAAAGGAAAAAGAAACTGCTGGTCTCAAGTGTATCTCAGTCCTAGTAGTATAGATATATATATACAAGCTCGAGGCCATGTTTTAGTCTTTTAGACCGTTGTCACCCTAGTATAACTAGTGCAGCTCTGCTTTAAGACAAGGCGAATCATCTCGATGTAACTCTCCACGGAGTACCAACAGCATTCTTGAGTCCACGATACTATTACCTTATATCTACTTGATATATAGTAAGTCGAGGTAGAAATAATTTACTATAGTAGTACGCACATAGAGTTTGGGTCTGGCTGGAGCGCCAAGGCGGCTGACTGGGTCTGCTAAGATCCTTGCCTACTTTAACCTATTAAGTACTATATAACTACTTTACCTTTTTTTTCTTTTTATCTTTATTATTTAGTTACTCTTTACTTTTTATTCTTTTATCTTTTATTCTTTATCTAATATTTTATTTTTTATCCTATCTTCCTCCTTTACTAAAATTAATACCTTAATAAATAACTAAAATTAGTACTATATTTAGTAATTAAATTAAGCTATTAAGTCTTTATAAAATTAATATATTTAAAGAATTTAGTACTAGCTAAATATATATCTCTATAAATATTAGCTATATAGAAAATATATTTAATTAACTAAATATTTAAAGATTTATTAATTTAAAAAATACTTAAAATATTTTTAAGAAAGAAATAGAGTAAACTTAATATAATATTTTTTATTTTCTTTTATTAGTTCCTTTAAAGTATCTAAAGGCCTCTATAATACTTAAATAGGGACCTTTATATCTTATAAACTAAAGTAATTAATTTAAAGTTTTATTTCTTTATATAAAAGAAAAATAAAATAGTTTAATACTTTTAACTAAAAAGTATTAGCTTTTTTTTTCTAGATTTTTTTTTAGAAAAAATAGAAAGTTTAGCTTTTATATTATTTTTATTTATTTTACTACTATACTTTTTAGAAATATATCTTTTTAAATACTACTAAGTTAGACTCTAAAAGTCTAAAATAGTATATATATATAAAGAATATTATTTAGTAGTTTTTAAAAGATTTCATAAAAAATTTTATAATTTAATAATACTTTATAAAAACTACTACTAAAATATACTCTTTAAAGAGGAAAAGCTATATACTTTAATTAAAGAATTATTATTAAAGACTTAAACTTAAAAAGAAGATAAAATATTTAGAATCTTTAATAAATAACTACTAACTAGTACTAGAGCTAATATTCTAAATCTAGAAATTATTTTAATTTCTAAATTCTTTAGAATTAGAATTAGAAGTAGAAAAGGACTTTAAAGCTCTAAAAGTTTTAAAAAAATAAAAAAAGTAATTCTAAAGACTTATTAAATATAAATATAAAGAGATAGAGATATCTAAAACCTCTATTTAACTCCTAGAGAAAAGGATTTCTAGATTAAAGAATAAAGAGTCTAATATATAAAATCCTAATTTAAAAGAATTAGAGATAAAAAGGGAAAATAGGGCTAAAACTTATACTTTTATACTTAATAGTATAATTATTTCTACTTAAGTACCTTTTACCTTTAGGGGTAATAAAATACTAGGATAAACTAGATCTATAGCTTTTAAATAAAATAAAGAAAAGATAAAGCCTAAAGAATTTAAAAAGTTTTTTATTTTAAAGGCTTTAGAAATTAGTTTCAAAGGCCTAAAAGAACTAAAAATCTAGAACTAGATTAATTAAATCTTTAAATAAATTAAAAAGATCTTAAAATCAATTCTAGTATTAATAGCTAAATTCTATAAAAGAATAGATATTCTTTTAATTATGATATCTAACTTTTTAATTAACTACCTATTAGAATAATAAATACTATAGAAAAGGATAGTAATATTTTACTACTTTAAACTAGAAAAAGAGCTAAAAGTAAAAAAGGTAAAAAAATCGTACTATATAGTGGTTTATAGAATTTAAATACTACTCTTTAAAAATAAATAAGATCTAAAAAACTTAAAAGAAGAAATAAAAACCTTTAATAAAGACCTAAAGGATCTATAAACTAGAGAACTAGCCTAACTATTTATCTCTAAGTAATAAAAAACTAGATATAAGGGCTCTATTCTTCTTTTCTTAAAATAAAGAATAAAACTAACCTCTATTTTAATAGTAGGGAACTAGTATACTATAGAAAAATATAAAATAAATAAAACTAAGTCCATTTAAGATAGAGTATATCTATAATTAAACTAAGGACGGGTACGAGTTTGATAATCGAACTAAACTAATCTAAACCTAATTAGGTTGCTATCGATTGGGTATTTATCTAATTTAAATAAGTTAAATTAAATTAAGTATTCTTTATATATCTAATTAGGTATTAAAATATTAATTATTAAGTTAAAATCTAATTAATAACTAAGAATTAAGATTTAAATTACTCTATTTAGTTAGTAAAATATCTATAAATAGAAAAAATTCTAAAAATAAATTAATCTAACTAAACTAGGAATTAAATAAGAAGATTAATATAATTAACTTATATCTAGTTAATATTTAACTTATTTAATACCTAAACTCATGGGTATAAAATAATATAGATACTCACCAAGTTTAAATAGAATAGACCAAAAACTCGATCCAAATAATAAATTGATTTATCCTTAGTCTATCTATAATATTAAAAATAATAGTAATTTAGCTATTTAGTTAATAAATATTTATACTTCTTTAAATACACACTATGCGCTAAAGGGTATAAAACTAAAATTTATATTTATACTATCTATAGTATTATAGAGAGATAATATTTCTATACTAAGTTAAAGTATACTAATTATAAAGAAAGCTACTCTATAAATAGTAAAGAATACCCTTTCTATAAAGAACTAATTACTACTACTAAATTTTATAAAGAAGAAGGCAAAAAAAATAGAATATAGAAGAATAAAATCTTTATCTCTATTTAGTTTAATATAGAGCCCTAAATTAGCTACTTTAAAAAAAAACAATTTTTTTAATATATAGAGATCTAAATTCTACTATCTCCCCTTAAAGTAGAATTACTAGAATTTTAGATAAATAAATTATACCTAATCTTTATTTAATATCTCTATTTTAAAATTTATCTTTCTATAAAATAATATAGTTAGAAAAGATATATTAATATATATCTATCTAGATATAGCCTTTAATAAAAAAATAGATTTTATTCTATTTTAAAAACTATATATTAGCTTAAATAACTAATATATAATAATATACTCCTTTTACTATTATCTTTTACTATTAGATTAGACTAGAGACGAATCGATTTGGGCCAGGTTTTTGATCTATTTTACTTCAATTTGGTAGGTATTTATATTATTTTATACCCGCGAGTTTAAATATTAAATAAACTAGGTATTGACTAGATATAAGTTAATTATATTAATCTTCTTATTTAATTTCTAATTTAGTTAGATTAGTCTATTTTTAGAATTTTTTTCTATTTATAGATATTTTACTAACTAATTAGGGTAATTTAAAGCTTAATTCTCTATTAATAATTATATTTTGGCTTAATAATTAATATTTTAATATCTAACTAGATATCTAGGGGATATCTAACCCAACCCGACTTATTTAAATTAGATAAATACCTGACTAGTAGTAACTCGGTTAGGTTTGGGTCGGTTTGATTTGATTATCAAACTCATACCTGTCCCTAGTTTATATTAGATAGAAAATATAGATCTAGAATAGTAATATTTAGTTAGAAAAACTTAAGATTTTAAGTAAATTTTAGATTAGATATAAAGAATATCTCTAATTTATTAATTATAAATATAATAGACTCTAAGAAATAATTAAAAACTATTTAATTAATAAATATTTGTAATAAATTTCTATTAGAGAGTAATAGTAGAAAAAAAACTATAGAGAGGAAACTAATAGAAATTATATCTTCTAAAAATTATATAATAGATAGAGATATAAATATATATTATTCTCTATAAAATTTAAATATCTCTATTTTACTAAAGGCTAATATTTTAGTATTCTAGCTAGAAAAGAATAATATAAAGCTTATAAATAAGTTAAATAAATCTATTTATCTAAAGGTAATAGAGAATCTATCTATTATAGATTTATCTAGTTTATTAAAAGTACTTCTTAAGAAACTATTTAATTAATAAATAAAAGACTTTCTAAAATTAGACTTAGATTATAAAGTTATCTATTTTAGTATAAAGATAGATTAATCTAGCTTAATAGAAAGCTTTATATATTTTAACTAGTTAAATCTATAAAAAGTAGACTAGAAAAAAGTTTTAGAAATATTAAAATTAAATCTAAAGAAAGATATCTTTATATCTAAACTAAAAAGAGATAAAAATATTTACTTTAATATAAAGCTAGAAAATAAGGCTAAATAATTAAAAAGTTTAATTATTAAGACTATAAAAGATACTATTTTTAAAATAAGAATATTAGAGTATTTAAAACTTTAATAGATAGAAAAACTAAAGAATCTCTAAAAGATAATAAAAAAAGAAGATATAAAGTATAAAAAAGGCTTAATCTTCTTAAACTAATATAAAAAGACTAGAAATATCTACTTTAGAGAAATTAAAAATATTAAATAGAAATATTAAAATATATTTCTAAAAAGTATAAAAAGAAAAAAGATATTTTAAGCCTTTAACTATACTAAAAAAAGGAGATTAAAAAAACTTTCTATCTTTAACTATAAGAATAAAGATAACTAAGATATTAAAACTATCTTCTTTAAAAATAAATATAAAATTTTTATAAAAATCTTTTTTAAAAAACTACTTAGCTTTAATAGCTTTAACTATTCAAACTATTAAGAAAAAAAATAAGAATAGCTTTTATTAATTAAAAAAGAATTTAAAGATATAATTTTTACTAGTTTATTAAAAAAGGCCCTAGATTTAGATAAAATATCCTTTCTAATAATTTAAAAGATTTTCCCTCTATCAAAAGAAAGGTTTT